CCCAGCCTCACCCTTCATGCCCAGGGCTTCCAGCTCTGCCCGGAAGAAACACTCAGGCGTTCCTTGTGTGAGCGGCAAGAGCCCAGCAACTTCTTGTAGTTTCGATGGGCACCACAGGCCCGAATGTAGCGCTTTAGCCTCATCACAGCCGGGTGGTCCTCACCACGGCGACCAGAGCCAGCCTGGCAGGGAAAAGCAACAGCTGAAGGCCAAACCTTCTGGGCTTGAGTCAGGCTCTTCCTCTTCCCTAATGGTGGCCTCCCACCCCATCTTCAACTCTCACCTTCCCACCTTTGGGTTCTGGACTGTCCCCTGTGGAAGAAGAGGAGGAGCTTCGTGTCCTGCCTTTCTTGGAGCTCTTCTGGGAAGAGCGGTTCTTCCTCTCCCTTTTGGGGCTCCCCTCTGCCTGGCTATCACTCACCTCCTTCTCTGAGTCACTTGCCTCACTGTTGAAACTGCCCACTTTGGCTGTCTTTCCAGTAGTTGGTTTCACCTTCCTCCAGCTATCTTCCGCATCCTCCTCACTGTTCCCACTCTGCCTTTTTTCACCCTTCCACTGGGTCTTGTCCTTGCTCTTCCTCTGCACCAGGGGCTCCTCATCTTCCCCACTGGTATCCCCACTGCCTGCTGCTGCTATTTCCTTCTGTTCCTCTCTGTCCCCTGAGTCTCCCAGCAGCCTTGCTGCCCTACTTTTCTGCTTACAGCTCCTCTTCTCCCAAGCTGAACTTTTTCCTCCATTGCCCTGAGCTCTGGGTTTCCAATCCCCCTCCTCTCTTTCTTTCTTCTTGGCTAGGGCCTCCTCCTCCTCCTCCTCACTCTCCTTTTCACTTTCCTCATGGCTTTTAGTTCCTTTCTTCCCCTCCACCTTCCTTCCTGTCCTTTGGGCACGTTCCTCCTCACCGTCCTCACTCTCCTCCCTGGCCTGCTTCCTACTGGCTGAGGCCTTGCCTTGTGCCTGCTTGTTCTTTGTCCCAGGCTTCTTCCTAGTCCTGCCCTTGGGCTCCTTTTCCTCCTCCTCCTCCTCCTCCTTCCCTTCATTTTCCTCATCTTCCTCTTCCTCACTGCTCTCTTTCCAGACCTTGCTCGTTCTGGCAGAGCCCTCCTCCTCCTCCTCACTACTCTCCTTCACCACCTCCTTCTCTAATCCAATCTTTGCATTCAGGTTCCTCTGTTCTTCTTCATCACTGCTCTGCTCAACTGCCTTTGAGGCTTGCTTTGGACTCTCATCCTCAGCTGGACTGACTTCTGCTGTCATCCCATTTTTTGCTGGGGGGCTGAGGCAGTCTGGACTGGAGGCTGCAGAGCTGGGCTCTGGAATGTGGAAAGAAGAGAATGTTAGGACAGGTTCCTCCTGTCCCTTTTTCCTCCACTTAGGACAGGCTGCCTCGAATCCTGCTCTGACAGATGGAGGGAAGGGCAGTAGTCCATCCACCCTGTTCCTAGTTCCCAACTCACAGGCGACGGCCCTCATCTACAGTATAACACATGCACAATAAATACTTTTTGAATGCGCCAACTATGTGGAAGGCACTAACCTGACTCTGAATTGAAACGGAACCTTTTTCTCTCTGGATCACGGCAGGTGGTGGGAGACCTCTTCGCCTTCTTGGCAAGGTCGCGCCTCTCTTCCTTGGTACCCGCTTCATCCACCTGTGTGTGCATCAAGAGAGTAAAAACGTGTAGCCAGGTGGTGTTCTGCTCCACCCCTCTTAGGCTCCTCCTCCTTGGTCACAACCCCTGACTCCGGTGGCCCAGACTCGCGCCCACACCTGCATTTTCAGCAGCTCCTCCTCCACTAGCCTTTTCAGCGCCTGCTTCTCCTCAGGTTCCAGGTGGTCGCGGCCCGCATAAGCCAAGAACCTCCGCCGCACGATGGAGTGCGTAAGCGTGCTGCGGAAACACGTGTCACGACGGAGTCCCTGTCCCGCCCCTGCCCTTTCCAACCCCAACTCCAACCTCCGGTGCACCTGAGGTCTGGGCGGCCTCGGAAGAAGCTACGGGTGAACTCCTGCATCTCATCCTCCCGCGCCATGTTGCTCCACCTGGAATTGGCGGCTCCCGCCTTTTTTCTTCTCGGCCTCCGTCCGCCCGTTTGACAGAAGCTTGCGCACGCGCAGTGTCGTCGCGCCTTGAGGCAAGGGACCGTTGAGTATCAGTCGCCGGCCACTTGGACCGAGAACTTTGCCAGACAACACCTGCTTTCCCCGGACAGTTGGAGGGTCTCACGGCTCTTTCCTTTTCTTAGAACGAGTCGCTTTTAAAATTCTCGTGGGAAACCAGTTTGGAGCCGGCAACCTTTGGGTGTAATGTAATCAACCCGCGACGCTGCCTCCGTTGGTGGTCACTGGCACCAGCTAGGTCTCTGAGATTTAGAAAGCCAGAAGAAAAGGGGCGTGTTCGCCTGGAAACTAGGCATCCCAGGGGGCAAGTTTTCTTGTGGCTTCAAATCGCTAAGCACATTTCGAATCAGTAAGGGCGCCCTCCTCCATCTGCCATCTTTGTGACATCATCGCGTCGCTGCGACACCATCTTCAGCGTATCCCCTGCAAGGAACGTTGCTTTCCCAGTATTCACTAGGAAGGCAGCCGAAGTGGTTACGACCCCTGGGCGCGGAGTTCGCCGGGAGATGTAGTCCCAGCATACACAGCTTTGCAGAGTCTCCGGAAGTAGAGGCGGGAGAGGCAGGGCTGAGCAAGGTTTGGGGTAGCGGGACTCCGGGCTAGTTCTAGGGCGCTGCTGCCGGGGCCGGTCAGGTCATGAACGGGCCGGCGGACGGCGAAGTGGACTACAAGAAGAAATACCGGAACCTGAAGCGAAAGCTTAAGTTCCTCATCTACGTGAGTGCTAGAGTGGGGAGGTTGGGAGCAGGGGGTGAGGCCTGGCGCTGGTACGATGTCAACTTACCTTATGTGTGGAGGGAATGGGGTGAGCTGTGGCCGGCTTCTGTCCCTCTGCGGACGGCCGTTAGCTCAAGCGCCCACCTTGCCCGTGATACAGGAACACGAGTGCTTCCAGGAGGAACTGAGGAAGGCGCAGAGGAAATTGCTGAAGGTGTCCCGGGACAAGAGGTGAGACACGTTGAGGGGCAAGAGGAGGCCAGAGGATGAGGTGGCTCCAGTGGATCTACATTCGGACTCATCCTGGAATGGGCCACAAATGCATAATGCCTGTGTTACAGGGTTGTTATGATGATCCAACGGGCCAGCTAGAAGGGACAAGGGTCCAGGACAACACTGCAGAGGTGGGAATAAACACTCTTGTTCTCTCCACCTCTTCCCTCAGTTTCCTACTAGACCGACTTCTGCAGTACGAGAACGTGGATGAAGACTCTTCTGGTGAGCAGGGTCATGAAATATTGGTGGAGGACGTGGCTCCTGGCGCTTCAGCAAGCTCCTGGGCCCTCCCTTTAGTCTGTGGAGGCTGATACAGCCTCAGGTGGTTCTTAAGCCTAGTTGCTTGCCCTCCGCCTCAGTACTCTTACACTCAAATAATGCTGAGCATCTACTGTGTTTCATGCACCATGCTTTGCACATGGCATACAGTGGTAGCCAAGATGGAAAAAGCCTCTTGGAATTTGTATTCTAGTTGGGGATAAAAAGTAAGCAAAAAAACTTTGGATTTGAAAGGAATAAAATCAGGGTTATGTGGTAGTGATTGGAGTAGAGCAGGGATTGATAAACTTTCCCTGTAAAGGGCCGGGTAGTAAGTATTTTAGGCTTTGCAGAATACATAATTTTTGTTGCAGTTACTCAGCTCTGCGGTTGTAGTGCAAAAGCAGCAAATGGTGATGTGCAAATAAGTGAGCGTGGCTGTGTTTATCTAACTTTATCGTGAACGCTGAAGTTCGAATTTCATAAAATTTTAACACGTCATGAAATGTTTTTCTTTGGACTTTTTTTCCCAGCCTTGTAAAAAGGCCATTCTTAGTTTACAAACCATACAAAAGCAGATGGCAGGCAACATCTCACTAACGGGTTCAAGAAGGCTTTTCAGGAAGTAATGTTTGAGCTTGTCTTGTGAAAATATGAGTGAGAGATTTCCCAGGAGAGGGAATAACAAACGCAGATTCCCTGAGGTAAGAACGTACCAGGTTCTTTGAAGAACAGAAGAGCTGAAGCACATAAAGCAGCGTTCTCAAACTTTTTTTGAGTATTGCTTACAAGCAACTGTATATGTTACAACCGTGATCAACCCCTGCATACATACTTACTTATAAAACAAAATTTAATGAAACTATGTTAAGATCACTGTGAAATTTGTTCTGATACTTTTTAGACTGCTTTTTTCCCCCATTTAATGCTCGTTGCATAGCAATAAATTGACTTTGTGACCCACTGATGGGTTGATACCCACAGTTTGAAAAGCCCTAATGTGGGCATTGGTGGCCCTGTTTTTCTCATAAGCCATGTCACATGCAATCATCTCTTTCCGTGATGCCTTTAAACATTGGTTTAGAGCAGGGATCAGCAAACAGCAGCCAGGCAGGCTGTTTGTTTTATTAGAACACACAATAGCCCACTCATTTATGTATTATAGAATAGCATAGGATAGTAGATGAGGTCAGAGAAGTAGATAGGAGCCAGCTTGTGTAAGTCACAGCAAAACATTAGGCTTTTATTCTAGCTTCTCATTGTCTGTTCCTTCCTGGAGGTCTTTTAGTTAACTTCCTGTTCAAGGGGTACTTCAGGATAGGAATCATGAGAAAACCCAGCGTGTTCATGGTCAGGGTGGGATAAATCTGAGAAGCAAGAGCCAGAGATGTAAGCCACCACTTACATCCCAGAGAAGCCCACAGTGTTGCCAGGGAGTCTCCCACATGTGACATCTTAGCACAGTGAGGAGAGCCATGACATGTGAGAGTAGAGGGTTCTGGGAGAGCCAGCCACCAACTGGGCCTGAGGGATTCTGGGAGACTTCTCAGAGAGGTGGCATTTAGTCTGCTTCTTAAAGGATCTATCTGAGCAGAGAAACTGGGAATGGCATGTATCGTATGTAAGTGGTTATTTGTTAAGTGAGTGGTGGGCCTTCTAGATAGGGGCACAAATCTGGGGAATAAATTTTGTTTCTGAGAAAATAGATTGGTGTGATGTGGAGGATACAGGTCAGTTGGGAGACCAGAAAGGTAGGTTGAGGCCATATTGAGAAGGGCTTCAAAAAAAAAAAAAAAAGAGAAGGGCTTCAAATGCTTGCAGGCCTTGGGAGACATCATTGGGGAGGATGTGATCAGTTTTACGTTCTAGGTCATCCTGGGGTCAGAGTGGACCGTGGGTGGTGGGAGAGATGAGATTGCTTAGGTGATTTTGACATGGTGGTCACCTGACCTTGTGGCAGTTGGAATGGGAAGCAATGAGTAAAGGTAGAGATTGGAGGGGTAACTTAACAAGACCCTGGATGTGAGGGTTGGAGTAAATGCTGAGGGCAGTTTAGAGGTGACTAAGGAGAGAGTGGCATAAAATGGTCATGGAGTCAGAGACCTGGGTTTAAGTCCCAGTTCCACAGCTTCCTCCTTGGATGGTTCTGAAGACAAGGAGAGGCGTTGAATGTCAAGTGCCTGTTCAGACCCTGGCACATAGTGTTTGACAAATGTGTTACCATGGAGGAGCCCAAGCAGGAAGTCGGTTGGAAAGGACTTTCTAAGAAGCTGAGGAAGGTATGGGCCTCCCCAGAATCGCACACGTGTGCCAACTGGGGAGTCACGGTCCCCAGAGCCTTTCCATAGATTTGAGATTATACCCTTCTGGGGTAGACGGGGACTTCCGACTCCCCACTTAACCAGCCCTCCCCATACAGACTCAGATGCCACTGCATCTTCAGATAACAGTGAGACAGAGGGGACACCCAAGTTGTCGGACACTCCGGCCCCTAAGAGGTGAGAAGCCATCATTCTTCTCTGGGGGTGGGGGGCACCTGGGCCTCCTCACTGCCTCTAATCCCCTCCCCTGTTCTTTCCTCCAGGAAGAGGAGCCCTCCACTGGGAGGTGCCCCCTCCCCCTCCAGCCTCTCCCTGCCTCCTTCAACAGGGTTTCCCCTTCAGGCCACTGGGGCCCCCTCCCCATACCTGAGCTCGGTGAGTTGGGGTCAGTGGTAAAATGCCCGGGAATAAGGTGGGCATCATTTGGGCAGAGGGGCCAGGCCTCAGGGTGAAGCTGGCTCAACACCAGGAATATCTGTCTGGGTGTGGCCAGCAAGCGTCCCTTGGAGGGGTGTGAGTCGGGGCTGCCCACTTCTCTCTGGTGTAGGAATGGGGGACAGACGTGACTGAGGAGAGCAGACCCCAGGACACAGTCCTGCTGCTGTCCCCTCCCCTCTGTTCTCAGGAGCCACACTCATCACCATCTCTTGTTTTTCCATTCTTCTCCTGTTTGCATTTCTTCCCTTCACCCCCACCCCATCCACTCCATTTCCCATCTCCATCCCCTCACTCCCGCCTGCAGCTGGCTTCCCCTCCCTACCCCCCATTCCCTTCTGACTACCTGGCCCTGCAGCTGCCCGAGCCCAGCCCCCTGAGGCCCAAGCGGGAGAAACGGCCCCGCCTGCCCCGGAAACTCAAGGTACCCTGTTTGGGGGACATTAGGGAGGGGCCAGAACGGCAGGACAGCCATCTGAGGGAGGCTCAAGACAGGGGCTGGGGACCTGTCCAAGAACTTTGAAGGACTGATCTGGGGCTACTGCTGGGGGCCCAGCCCAGGGCTAGGCGCTGAGGGGTGGGTCAGAGAAGTCCTGGCTCACAGGCACCATTTGAGACAAATCAGGGCAGGACCAGCCTTGGGGGACTCAGAGTGAAGGTGTCTGGGGCCAGGCTCATTTTCACAGGTGCTCTCTGATACCAGGCAGCCCCCAAGGAGGGGCAGAGTTGTGGGGTCTAGAATTAAGTCATGACTGCACCTCTTGAAAATCATGTCACCTTGAGCAGTTCTCTTTGAACCTCTAGGTCTCAGATTGTGCCTCTGTAAAGTGAGTGATCAAACTACATGTAATCAGCGAGTGTTAGGGAGCAGCTGCTATGTCCCGGGCACTGTTCTAGGTGCTGTACATACAATAGTGAACAAAACAAACACAAATCCCTGCCTTCATGAAGCCCATTCTTGAAGAATAGGCAGAAAATAAACAAGATATGTCGGTAACCATGTAGACAAATGGAGTCAGGTAAAGAGGATGGGAAACACCTGAGCACGTAGGGCTGCTATTTACAGCTGGGTGGTGAGAGACTTTAAGGAAGTGAGCAGAAGCCCTGTGACTCTCTGGGAAGTGTTTCATTCAGGGAGAAGAACCAGCACAGGAGCCCTGAGAGAGATGTGTTCGGGGACCAGGACGGAAGCCAGTGTGGGTGAAGGAAAGTGAGAATGACCAGAGGGCAGGTCAGAGCAGTAGCTGAGGGACAAGGTTGTGGAGGGCCTCGCCTTGTACTGTGAGTGAAATGGGAGCCATTGGAGAAGATGGGACTTCGGGGCAATCTGATCTGATTGACATGTTAAGAAAATTGCCTGACAACTGCTGTGAATAGATGGAGATGGGGGGTCAGGATGGACGTGGGGACACTGGTGAGGGGGCTACCGCAATCAACCAAACAGCAGAGGGAAGGGTGAACAGTGGATGACGGGTCTCTTTCACAGAATGAGCGTGGGAAGACCAGGGTGGGCTGTGAGGAGAGGCGTCAGGGATGACTCCGGGGTTGTCGGCCTGAGCAACTGAAGAAGCTGAGCTGGCCCTTGGCTGAGTCGGGGAGGACAGTGGGAGGAGCAGGTTTGGGAGGGAAGATGAGTTTGGTTTGGACATGTTGAGATGCTGTCTGGAGATGCCAGTGAGACAACTGGGTAGTGTGAGCCCGGGGCCCGTGGGGTGTGTCGTTGGAGGGCATTGGCGGGGAGGTGGATGCGATCATCGGGTGAGAGTGTGGAGAAGAGAAGAGGTCTGTGCCCTGAGCCCTGGGAGAGATGAGGGCATGAAATGCAATGCCCTTCCAGCTCTGAGTCACAGTGGGATGGAGACTGGGCAGGACAGCTCTCAGGCTGGGGAGACTGTAGACTCAAGGCTCTAGAGCCATAAGTGAAATAGGAGCCATGCTTGCGGTGTTAGGAGTGTGGGTTCTGGAGTTCGAACCCCGGCTCTGCCACTTACTCCTGTGTGACCTTGGTCCTTGAGCCTGAAAAATGGGTAGATAATGGGTGGTGATACCACTTAGCTTCTGCTTCACTCTCCTTAGCATGGTTTTTGCTTCTGGCCTGTGGAGCAGGATGGTGGAGAAGGCAAGGGGCAAGGAAACCTGGAGCAGAGGGCAGAGGTGTGACGTGGTGTGGGCTTGGCAGTTTGTGGCTCTGAGGGGCTGAATCCTGAAGCAGAGGAGGGTCAGGATGCTAAGTTCTGGACTTGCAGGAGAGAGGGGCCCAAATCAGTTGCTGAGCATGGAGGAGGGGCTAAATCAGGGATGGACTCAAAGAACAGGTAACATTTGAGCCCAGGGTAAGTGAGATTTGGATATTCCAGGCTGAGGCAATAGTGGAAGGAAGACGAGGACACGGCAGAAGTGTTGTTCGGGCTGGAGCAGGCGTGGTGAGAGTAAACAGCATGGCATCACTGAAGTTTCTGGGCGGCATGGCGTGAGGAGACAGGAGAGGGCAAGTCTGAGGAGGAGAGAGGGAAGCTGTGCAGACTGCAGCAGGGCAGTCAGGAGCCGGGGCCTCAGCCGGGCTTAGCCAGGTTTGTGCAGCTCCACACACTCACTGGGGGACTTGGGCACGTCATCCAACTCCCGGAGCCTCGGCTTGCTTCTCTGTTCACTGTGAGGGGAAAATGAGTTAAGGGAGAGAAAACACTTAGCCCAGGGCCTGGTCCCTGGGAAGCTGCTCTGGGTCCCGATGTAGTGGCCATTGAGTAAGTCCAAACAGGGGTAGGACATGGAGTCTCGGGTGGGGAATTGAGAGGTGGTAGCCAGCGCAGAGGGACAGCTCTCATGCCAGTCCTCGTGCATGCGCGTCTGCTCCCGTGTGTACTCATGGGTGCCTGGTGGAGGGGGCAAGGGTGCTGTGCAGAGCTGGGCCTCCTGTCTGTCCTCAGTCCTGGCAGGCTCATGTCCCCTGGGGTACGGACCCACTCTGGCCCTCCAGAGCACCCCAGGAACAGCAGTGAGGGCGAGGACTCCTTGAGAATCAGAGAGTAGACCTCAAGGACCGAGTGTGTTGAAGCCATCAGAAGGGCCACTGTGAGGACCACGCATAAGTGTTTCCTGCCATCCCCCACCCCACAGCTAGATTGAACGCTGCCCGGTGGAGACCCGGCAGGCCTGTGCCTTGAAGCCTCCATCTCTAAGCCTGTTTCCTCCTCTGGCCGATGGCCTCTCCTCCCTTCTAGGGTGGTCAGAATGGTCAGAGATCATTATCGGAAACCATCTGGCCCATAGTAAGTGCTCAGTTTGTGTCCACGGGCAAAGCTTGAGGCTCATAGAGCTCTGCAGGGAAGATTTGGAAGGACCTGGCAGGGCTGGGGCTGGAGGATTGGGCAGGACAGAGCCCATTCCCAGCAGAGGACAAAGCAGAACTTTTGACAGAAAAGGACACGCCAGGTGGAGGGGTTGACCTGTTCTCAGGCACTGCCTGTGCCAAGGGCAATGAGGAGCTAGAGGCCCTCAGGTGGCAGAATGACACGCTCAGGTTTGTGTTTTAGAGAGCTCACTCTGGCTGCAGTGTGGAGGAGGAGCTGGATCTGGGAGAGGCTGAAGGCAGGGAGTCCAGTTAGGAGGCTGGTACCGTAGCCCAGGTGAGCTGAGAGGAGGGCCTGGCCTAGGCCAGTGGCTGCGGGGATCCCAAAAGGGGGCCCATCCAAGATCTGAGAGGTAGCTGCCTCACACAGTGGGGGGGGAAGGCCTTTGACACCCTCCACTGAACCAGTGAGTCCCTCAGGAGGAAGAGGGAGAGGAGGCCTGTGGTGGCAAGTGGTCTCTGAGGGGCCCAGAGGCGGGCAAGCAGGCACTCCAGGCTGACTCTGGCTCTAACTGCTGTTAGAGGCAGCCAAGGTGCCTTACTGGCGAGGGCAGGGCCCAGCCTTTCCCTCCTGGTTTCCTGTAAGACCCCCTCCACTACCACCCTCATCACCACTTCCATCACCACCCCTCACCCCCAGGCACTTGCTGGTTGGAGACTCTGAAGGGGCTGAGGTGGGGCAGGCTCCCTGGTTCCAGCATTGGCTGGCCTGGCTGTGTCCACTAACCCTTGAATAAGCCTTTACCCTCTTTCCCATCCAGTAGAACTGCCTTAAGGGGCAGCAACAGCCTCCTGGAGGTCCCAGTGCCTCCCTAATCAGCCCTCCCTGTGTTTCTTCCCCCTGCTGCAGATGGCGGTGGGACCCCCAGACTGCCCTGTGGGAGGGCCACTGACCTTCCCAGGCCGGGGTTCTGGGGCCGGGGTGGGGGCAGCCCTGGCCCCACTGCCCCCACCCAAAATGCCCCCACCTACGATCCTGAGTGCCGTCCCTCGGCAGATGTTCAGCGATGCGGGCAGCGGGGACGACGCCCTGGATGGGGATGATGACCTGGTAATCGACATCCCAGAGTGACCCTCCCGCCCGACTCCCTGCCCAGTGCCCTCTGTGCCAGCACACATGAGCCCCTAGCTTCCACAGAGACATTTATTGACACCCAGTTGCCATGCTGTGGCCACTGACACAATCAGAAAAGGCGTAAACATGCACGAATGTCCCCTGGAAGGTGGGCCGTCTCCAGAGAGG